CCGTGGAGCCGGTCATGGTCGGGAGGTTGGTCACAGGGTTGCGGACGATGCAGGCTTTGTAGAATTCGGGGTATTGTCCAATCAGGTGACAGGAGAGGAATCCTCCGTGTGATCCGCCGCATAGTGACACGTTCTGCGGATCGATAGGCTCCTCCTCCAGGATCTGCAGCACCGCGCTCTGTATGAGGGGAGATGGGAGGATCAGAGACTGCGCCCCTACTGGTAGGACAGGAACAGACCCGACTACTGCTGTCTATGGATGGAAGGCCGGGATTACCTGGTCTCTATGAGGATAGATGGGGTGGGGAGCGGTTGCGCCCCCTGGTGGTTGGTCAGGGAATTGTTCCTCTATGAGGGTAGATGGGGTGGGGGGCGGTTGCGCCCCCTAGTGGTTGGTCAGGGAATTGTTCCTCTATGAGGGTAGATAGGGTGGGGAGCGGTTGCGCCCCCCTAGTGGTGGGTCAGGGAATTGTTCCTCTATGTGGATAGATGGGGTGGGGAGCGGTTGCGCCCCCTAGTGGTGGGTCAGGGAATTGTTCCTCTATGAGGGTAGATAGGGTGGGGAGCGGTTGCGCCCCCCTAGTGGTGGGTCAGGGAATTGTTTCTCTATGTGGATAGATGGGGTGGGGAGCGGTTGCGCCCCTAGTGGTGGGTCAGGGAATTGTTCCTCTATGTGGATAGATGGGGTGGGGAGCGGTTGCGCCCCTAGTGGTGGGTCAGAGAATTGTTCCTCTATGTCAGGGTTAGGGATGTCCTGTCCTCCTGCCGTGGGGGTTCTCTGGATCCCTGCTGCTCTCCCCATCTGTATGCAGCGGGGAATCCGAGAAGTGAACGAAGCGCTGCAGATGACAGCAGGGGGCGGAGCCGCTATCATAGCAGCACGCCAAACGGTGAGGAGAGAGAGAGACGCTCAGCCAGGATCTGACAGCTGGTGGTTCTCTCTCTCCTCACCGCACATGCTGCTGTGACAGCGGCTCCGCCCCCCATCAGCAAGCCCCCCCGCGGCTGAAGTGCTTTCCTCACTTCTCCTCGGATCCCCCGCTGCCTCTACCCCGTAGAGTGATACATATCAGTGATCAATCTTCTGTGGAGGACTAACACTGGAGCCATCGTCTGATCACTCCGGTGTTTATAAATAACTGGGGACACCTAGTACTATGTGTCCCTGGTATGAATGAACAGGAAGTGCTTTACATCACTTCCTGTTCATTCATGAGATTCTCAATGGGGAGTGGCACTCTGTACAGAGGCTCCTCCCCTTTCAGAAACTCTGTGTCCTCAATTTCTTTTCTATTTTAAAAGGGAAATATCAGTGATGTAAAGCACTTCCTGTTCATTCATAACCAGGGACACATAGTTCTATCAGCTGATCGCTCCAGTCTTTGTCCTGCACAGAGGATTGATCACTGATATGTACCAATCCTCTGCCGCTCAGCCACGCACACACAGGGGGGCTCAGCTTAGGATTAGTTTGATGGGGTGGGGAGTGATTGCGCCCCCTAGTGGTGGGTCAGGAAAGAGGACAGACTATAATATGCTCTCAGGTAGGACAGGTGCACTTACCTGAACATCCTTCACATCCTGATCGCCGACTCTCCCCGGCAGAGACATGACGCTGTCCTGCCCGAAGCCCAGTGACCCCCGATAATTGACTGCCATGACAGAGAAGATAAGTGACTTTGGGGTACAGGGGGTAGAAGGGCAGATTTTGGGGTACAGGGGGGTAGAAGGGCAGATTTTGGGGTACAGGGGGTAGAAGGGCAGATTCGTGTACACAGCGCGGCGTCTCACCTAACTGCACGGCGAAGCCGATCTTACACAGCGCGGCCGGGAACAGCGTCCACTCGCTGACAAAGGTGGAGTGCGGCCCGCCTGCGGGGACAGGACAGAGTGACACGCGGGACAGACACAGGAAGTGACAACACAGAGACGGGACGCACCGCCGGCAACAAACCGTGAGGGAAAACCACCAGCGGCAGCCGACTCTCCGGAGGGACTTTCTGAGGCCTCATGAAGATCGACTCGTATTCCAGACCGGCTACAAGAGACACAAAGACGTCAACATGGAGGATGCCGAGAACATTCCGGAAGAGGACACAATGATATTCCGGAGTCCCTCTGACCCCCCAATTCCCCATTACGGCTCCCGGGAGTCTCAGGATGTTATTAGACATATTGTTGGGCATCCTGGAAGCCATCTTTGTCCCGAGGTGAAAGGTCATTATTCCTGGTGAAGATTCTCACAGAAAATGTTAGAGTCTTAAAAACAAACCTTCCCGGGCCGTGAATTGTGGGGTCCCAGACAAGTACCACCAGATGAGGACTGACCATGGTGCCAGGCGGCGTTATAATCAGATTGAGGACCTTCATGTCTCAACTTAAAGGAGAACTACGAGGTCAGGGCTCCCCCCTCCCCCATAGTTCTCAGCGTCACAGGGGGACACAAACTAGCGTCCTCCCGTCACCCTAAGCTCAGTATATAGGGAGCTGCAGCTCGCGGTATACGGAGACGCCGCAGCCGGGACAAGTATGCCGGGATCCGCCCAGCTGCGTGAGCGACAGCTGGCTCCTCCTATCTAGAGGCAGAGCCAGCTGTACCCGCCCCCTCCCCCGTCCATTCCACCAGTCAGCGCTGGAGGATCGGGGAGGGGGGAATCCAGCCCCCATCACGGCAGAGAGCGCCGGTCTCATTGTCACAGCTCGGCTCAGTAGATCGGGAGGTGAGAGAACACATACCGGCGTTCGCTCACCTCTCGATCCTGTCACGGCTCTCTGCAGTGACAGGGGAGGGGCTGGATTCCCCCCTCCCCGCTCCGATC